CCAGACTGCAGAAATAAAGGCTACGGAGGTAGCATAGACAGTGGGCCACCTCCAGTTAGAGTGCAGTCTGAAGGTAATATGAAAATCTCCATTGTAGCTGGAATACTCTCTGCGTTTGGTCTCATAATTGTTTGTGTTTTCTTGATTATCTGTTTCAAGGATGAACAAAGAATTCAATTAAGATAATTTCAGGGAAGAGTCCACGCTACAAAATCAAAAGATGAAGGAACACCAGTATAACTCACCCTTGCTAAGAATCCACAATGCCTCCAGCATAAGCAAAGGAAGTTTTAATAGTCAATTTGAAAAACAAAGAAATTTGAAAATTCAATATTTTAAAGGTGTGTCCCAGACACATACCCATTTGAAAAATCTGGCTTCTTTGAAGGTGAAGAAACCCTCCAATATAGGCAAACCATGTTCTTTGAGAATGAGTTGAGGAAATTTCTGATTTGCAATGAAAAATAATTCTTAGGGATCGCCTTGAAAATCAAGCATCTAAACTAGTAGCTGGCTATAATCAACAGTACATTGGATGTCAAAGAAAGATCAAGAGGCATTGTTGATGACAGATAATATGGGCTGCCATCATAGCATTGCACACCAACACTTCTCTAACTGTGCCCTAGTAAATTATTGATGAAATTATTATGGATGTTCAGTATTTTGAAGCCACTCAGTGACTATTGAGAAAGACATCTCCAGCATGGTCCTCTGTTTCTCATCAGTTCTACTAAGATTGATCTGTTTGGAATAAAACAAAGTTATTTATGTTTTCATGGGAAATTTTAGTTCTCTGTGCCATCAGTGTGTGTACCCAGCTATCACTTCCTCATACATAGCAGAAAATACACATGCAACATATAAGAGGGAGAGGGGAAGAGAACACAACATATATTCATATAAAGCAACTCTCATAGACTCCCTCTCCTGATATTCATAAGCTGGTAGAAGATTCCCTTCATTCATTTATCAACAATTCTTCCTCTAGCTCCTATTCAGAAGAATCAGTCAATTTCTAATGGTAACTCAAAACATAAATGGAGACATGTTGCTCCTTCCTTCCTTCCTTCCTTCCTTCCTTCCTTCCTTCCTTCCTTCCTTCCTTCCTTCCTTCCTTCCTTCCTTCCTTCCTTCTGTGCAGCTTTCAAGAGGGAAAAGATGTTCTGGTTCTACTTTCCACTTATTTATTTTGAGAAATGGCAAAGATGCTATCCATGAAGATTATTCAAATATATGAGAAAGACTAACATGTCATTCTGCATATTTAAAAAGCATGTTGAATGCATGGAGGAAGCTCACTCATCTAACATTTGGGTGAAGCAGAAGTGGATGATACAAAGTTGGTACTGTCAGTAAACTAGTTCACATAACCAGTAACCTAGACCAGCTATTCCTGGACATGAAAAGATGGAGGGTGAAATGGAAATTTAGTATCAGTCCTAGTACTTGCCAGTTTATTCTTGTTACGGGCTGGTGCATGAACATCTGGGCAAGTGGATGTGTGACAGCCTTAGGATTTGCTTCCAATCTTTTCTACTGAAATTCTCTAGAAGGAACTGTGGATTAAGAAACCTCTCTTCAAGGGACTAAGAGATAAACATTTTGTAATAATTAGTTCCTTAATCTTTGTGGATTCTTTTCCACCTCACACTCTTGTGGAAATTTCCCTCTAAAATTTTTGAAAATTATTCAAGTTGATGGTGAAAAGCCACAGATCTGAGGAACAGATGAACAAAGGATATTTATACACATGGTTTTGTTTTATGAGGGAGTTTGGAGTAGATGCATAAAGAACTGTACAACAATGCTCAGTTGCACCAATTCACAACCTGTAAGGACTTGCCTTTCCTCTCTCCTGAAGAAACCAGAAGTCTTGAAACAAGCATTATTTCAAACTTTTATTGAGGAAAAGTGATAGCAAGGATAGCAGGGCAGGATCTGAGTTTCCCGCCCAAACATTGAAAAAAGCCCTCCTATATGTCGAGTCAATCCACAGGTGTGAAGTTGTTTTGAGAACTTGAGCTGAGAAAGGTTGTTCTCAGACACCGTTCTGGTCTCTTCTTCAGAGACACAACAGATCGCCTCAGGCAGTTCCCTCCCACTGCCCTTTCCCAAGCAGGTACATCAAAGCGACATGAAAGCTGGAGACAGGAAAGAGGCTGTAAATGGAGCATACATCCCTCCCCACTAGAATGGCAATGTCCTGATAGGGATTTAAGCGACCTGACACAACCCAACCATCACAGGAAAATAATCAAACAATGATGATGATAATGACAATCATGACGATTATTCATACGGTGAATTTCAACAGAGTTTAGATTGGGTACATTCTAAGTGAAGGCTTCTGAATCCCGAAGTTACAGTAGGGTGGGTGGGGATGTTTGCAGTCAGACGTGTCAAATTGAATAAATTAACACTTCCAAATATTGCTCCATATTTTAAAATCCCACAAGATCTCAACCTGCATATTTTCTAAAAGTTTTTCAGGTATGTGGTCCTGGTATTTTTGTTAACAGTGAAGCCAAGCTTTTCATCTAAATAACAATACACTTTAAAAAAAAATATCATGGTGTTGATTCGGGTCAATTTCAACAATTTTGCTAAAGGCTCTAATGAGATTATATGTTCAATGTTTATTTAGTGTGGTTTAATCGCTGCTTACCTGGGTGTTGATTGCTGCTAACCTGGTGCTCTGCTATCACTGACTAGTATAAGAACAACATATCATCATAGCATATAAATCAACTAAGGCTCTCCAAAACACCCTAAGTGGAGAATCAGGATGGCCAAGAGCCTGAAGAGCAGAGAGATTTGAAAGGGGCAACTGGAAGGTGAGACGGAGAAGAGGAGGTGCATGATTTATGACTGTGTGGCTTCCCTGGACTCCCCCTTTGGATCTCAGTTAACTGCCTTCTGTGTGCTGTGATCACTTGGAGCTGAGTTTATTTCAGGGGTTTCAGCTAACAGGAGACACAGGAGGCAAGGGATGTACTTATGGTGTACATGAGCTCAGTATTTAATTTTGTATTCTACCCCCTTGCACTCAGCCTTACTTACCTGATCAGAGGGAGAGGTTCTCCTCTCAGAAATCTTCCCAGTTGTTATTGAGCAATGGCACTAGCCTAGACCTTAGGGCCAGGGAGTGGGTATTACTGTTGTTATCAGACAATCTCTGGGTCATGCTTCCACAAGTGCCCGTATGTGAGACTCTTTTTCCTAGGTTGGGCTCAAGGGATTAGGTTGGATTCCTGCTACTGTACCAACAGCTTCCCTACCTGGGCTTACATTTCTGGGGATCTTTAACCTGCCAATCCAGGGGATGGAGTTGGAGCAGGATTTCATGGAAACCATGACTCTCATGGGCCAGTCCCAGGTTATCCATGGCCTGACTAGGAATAGAGGTCACACATTTGATTTTGTGTACTTGTTGGAGCAATGCAGGGGTGGGATTCAAATTTTTAAAAAACTGGTTCTGTGGGCGTGGCCTGATCTGTAGGTGTGGCTTGGTGGTCATGTGACTGGGTGGGCATGGCTTGCTGACTGGGCATGGTTTGGTGGTCATGTGACTGGGTGTGTGTGGCTAGGTGGTCATGTAACTGGGGTAGGCATGGCTAGGTGGCCATGTGACTAACAAACCAAATATAAGTGGTCCTCACTTAATGGCCAGCTGCTTAGCAAGTGTTCTAATCTATGACTGACCTCCCTAGAGCTACTTGACCTTTTTTTGGTGTTTTGACAGTCATGCGCGCGTGCGCGCGCGCACACACACACACTTAGGATCAGTTACAACATCCCACACAGTCTTGTGACTAAGGTTTTCTATGTTTTTTTTTTGCCAGTTTCCAACAATTCCTTCTGGTTTCTGGTTAGAAATGCCCATTGGGGAAAATGGACTTGTTTAACAACCACAGTGTTTGCTTAATGACCACAAGGTTCACTTAATGACCATGGTGTTTGCCTGACCCGGAGTCTGCAACCTTAAACACTCAAAGAGCCATTTTTCTATTTTCTTTTAAATAGGTATCTCTCTCTCTCTGTCTCTCTCTCTCTCTTTCTCCCCCTTTCTCATCTCTTTTTTCCCCTCTCTTTCTCATCTCTCTCTCTCTCTTGTCTCTCTCTCTCCCTTCCTCCCTGTCTCTCTCTCTGTGTCTTCTCTCTCTCTTTTCCTCCCTCCCTCTTTCTTTCTCTCTATCTGTATGTGTCTCTTCTCTCTCCCCCCCCCCCCCGCCCCATTTCTCTGTCTCTCTTGGTCTCTCTCTCTTTCCCTCCCTCCCTCTGTCTCTCTCTCTTTCTCTGTCCATCCCTGGGGTGGGGAATATAAGTCATTTTTTTCAGTGCTGTTGTAACTTTAAATGGAGGCTAAACAAATAGTTGTAAGTCAAAGAGTATCTGCGGCTTTAACCTTCCAATTATCATCTAACTAAATTTCAGCTGCATCTCTGCACCAGGCACATAGGATAATTTCCTTATTCCCAAAATGCAGGAAAATAACCCAGGCTCACAAGAAGTTGTACTTCTGATGTTTTTCAAGCTTAGCAACTTTAAGGCATGTGGACTTCAATTCCCAGAATACCTCAGGCAGCATGAGACCTGATCATTTGATTACTCCCAAGTCAGTAACATGAAAGAATTACCAACTTTAAAGATACTGAGCATTGTATCTCTGTATGAATTGATTTAGTAAGATCCCATACTTACCACGCTCCTGTCTCTGCTTGGACAGAACCATCAAGGCACTTCTACTGGATTGCCCCTTGTACCAAGGCTCTGATTTAATATTGCCTCCTCCTCCTCATCATCATCACTAAATGCATGGATTGACCTCAAATGGATCATGTTACCTATTTTCTACTGGGGGATTAATCTATAAAATGTAATATAAACTGCCCCTTCATCACAAGGACACAGCTTTAAAGATATTAAAGTCCACTCCCACCAAGGGATACTTGCTCCAGGCTACTTCAAAATGCTTGAAAGCCCGGTTCAGCTCCAACAACACTTCCTGGAACTTCTCCTTGTAGCACTGAGCTCCTTGGCTTTTATTTTGAAATCCAGCACTCTTGGGCTTCAGCGCTGGACTTTAAAAGGCAAGCAACTACTCTGTGCTACAAGAAATGCCTGGAAGCCAATGAATTAGTCAATTAAATAATACTACTTTCTCTCCCAGCAATCTGAGCTGA